GTCCAGTGGTGTCTGGGAGGTCAACGGGGTGGTGGTAGTTTGCCCCGATTCAAAAGAGTGAGTTCAGCACAGCATCGTCGAATGCCGTTAGAACGGCGAGCTGGCTGAACTCAACCGCATACTCCTCAAAGGGCAGGTCCTTATGGGCTAGGGAGATGAACAAAGCGGCGAGGGGATCCATGGGGAAAACAGGGAAACAAAAGAAACACTGTACAAAAAAACGGAAATCAAATGGAGGGAAAACACGCAGTTAAATTCTTTGTTAGGTCCGGTGTTCTGTCACGATGCTACTGTGAGGAGCAAAGGAGCGCAGAGACGAAGCAGATTCAGGATAACAGTCTATAATAGTCCAAAACAAGGGGTAGCACAGGGCTTGGCAGGAACACACACGTAGCGCATAATACGGACGACACCGGACAAAGGAATCAGGGAACAGACAACACTTTAAATACAGGGCTTAACGAGGGGTAATTAACAGGACACAGGTAAATCAAATGACTTCTCAACGAGAGGGAAAAACTGGGTCACGGGGAGCACATGGGAGAAAACACAACAAAACAGCTCCATATTCCTGACACAAATGATTATATTGCCAAACTGTAGTATTTTTGCAATATTTACCAGTTACAGAGGGATTCAGACAAGGGGTTTGATTAGAGCTTTGGCACCTATGCTCTATTGCTATGGATCGTTGACATTGTTCTGTGTTCTCATTGGTTGGTTTGCATATGGGATATTTCATGCGCTATAAAAACCATAAAATAGTACACTGTTGCCAGATATGGATTACAGAAAATCACCTAAATGCAGATGATTCCAATCTAATTCAACTAAATCAAATGAACACACTGTAAACCATAACTTTTCATATTTTTGCATGTTTTTCTTAAAACAATTTGCAAAATCCATAGAAATAGACATATTTCCTCACAGTTTTGTCTTACACAAAGTATTCTAGACATTATCTGGCAACATGCATTCAAATATAACAATGCTTTGAGTTCACATCAAGAATCTGAATATAAATTTCGTCTAAACTACAGTTGGCTGTGTTACTAGAAAAAAAAAATAGCAGTAAATAATAACAGTTAAGCATATTCGATTTTCAAATTAATTTAACTTAATTTCACTTCCATGGCCTAACAATGCTTGAGTGGTCTGGCCATCATTAGAATTATCTAATCAAAAAAGAAAATGACTCTCTTATGATAAGTTAAGTGCCAGTGTGTACTAGATTTTTGTAGGAAATCAGCCTAAAAATGACTGTTTGTAGTCTTGACTCTGCATATTAAACTGAGATAGGAGCATTTTAACATTTAAGTATTAACTGTTATGAAGCCTGAAGGGAAAAGCAGCACACAAAAAAAAAAATATATATGTTGATGACTAGCTAGTTGAACAGCCTAGAAATAAGGCTAAAGATATCTCATCCCTTACTTAAGGTCTCTTTTAAATGAACTGAATCTCATTACCAGGGTTAAGGTTCTCTGGCTGACAGTAAACTATAAAGGATCCTGGATCATTAGTCTCCAATCCTTCAAATCAGACCAGATTAGAGGTCTGGTTCCTATTGTGTCAATCTGTCCAATTTCAGACCAGACTTGGGTCAGTTTTTCATGTATAACTTCGAAATATGAATAATGTTTCCAAATATAAAATTTTGTAACATATGATTTTAACTTTTTGTTTTGACACTTTCCTTCAGTTTTCAGTCACAATCTTATAAAACGTGTCTAGGTGTAATTGTAACTAAATATATAAATATGTCATGAACAATTTCAGGCCATTTTCCAATCCGTTTCCACCTTGCAGCAAAGTTTGTATTATTTCTGGAACTACACTTTCTCACTTGAAAAGCTCTGTCCCTTGTCAAACTACTTGAAGAGGAAATAACAAAAGATTAAAATAATTTAAGTTGGATTTTGTTTTAAATATCATAAGGTATTACATTTTCATTTCACATTTGATATAAAAAAGTTTGATGTTCAATGAAAATTCATTTCATTATAACTTTCAGAACTTAAAACCTCCCTCCCTGTCCTAAAAAAGTGTATAATGAAAACTAAACTAACTAAAAATGTTCATATTAGGTGTGCTTTCGTTTGTTGTATTCTCCATTTTGTATTCATATTTTAAGGTTAATTAAAAAAATTTAATCCATGACAAATTAAGCTTATGCTGACATGAACAAGAGTAAATCATTAGCGTTTGAAGGCATCACATGAAGAGTATTTGTGTGTGTATCTGTATGTGTCACTGTGTTGGTGCATTTCCTGTGTGAACATATGGCATGTAAGTGCCTGTTCAAAACTCCTACTGAGTCATATAACAGATCTCTCTCTCTCTCTCTCTCTCTCTCTCTCTCTCTCTCTCTCACCTCACACTACAAGTCTCTAGTGGAACAGCACATAGTAAAGGCTCCACCTACACTCACAACTCAAATGAGATTCACTCAGGGATGAGATTCACCCTTGCAAAAGTGCTGAACCAGCAAGAGGCTTATGATCGGGAAACACCACAATGCTTGGCTGCAGATGAGCAGGTCTTTCATTAGAGCAAGAGGGCAACTTAAATGTGACCAATTATTGAACCTTTAGACAAAATCTTAAAAAAAAAAATGCATATGTAATTTTTTGTTGACTATCATATTAGAGATGTCAGGCTTTTATACTCATATAAGAGAATGTGAAGCTAATATTCAAGGAGTAAATTGAAAAAACACCTAAATTTTATTTATCAGCCCAAACTGAGCAAAAATATGCAATTTGGCACAGTTGTTTATATTTATATGGTCCAAATGTAATATGACATTCTGATATATTGCAATGCAATATAATGATTCAGACATGTACATACAAACATTCCTCAAAAGACTGATGGATCATATTTGATACATTTTAACATTACTATTTTTTTCTAAAAAATTATCATTTAGACAACAGAAAGCATGTCGATGGTGTAACAACAGGGTTTCCAGACAAGTTTTGATCATTTGTACGCCTTGCGTATCAAATATGATACAGTAGGGTTTATAGAGTTAATTAAATAATTCACCCAAAAATTCTGTTATCATTTATTTATTTTCATATGACTCCAAACTTGTATGACTTGTTTCTTCCATGTAACACTATATTTTAAAGGATATTCACACAGTTATTTTATATACAAAACTGTCATGTGGCTTCAGAAAGTTAGTTGGACTACTTTTTATGCTTTTATTAAGCTTGACAGCACTTTTATAACATGGAATAGAGCAGCTCAGAAAATGTAGCAAAAATCTAATTTTGTGTTCCACAGAATAAAGAATACAGGTTAAGAATGAGAGTAAGTAACAGATGACAGATTATTATTATAATCATCACGCAAGAAGTAACACTGTTCCTCTCTTCTGAAAGTTACTGTACAGCATCTGATGTTCCATCAGACACTATCTATCAGTGTGTCAGAGCAGCGGTCGTAGTGCTTCCTGTGGATTAGGCTGTATATACAGCGCCTGTGTAATCTGATGGCTGCCTGTGAGAGCGGCCACAGCGGCGTTAAATTAAGAGTGCAGCAGTGGAGCTTTTGACTGAATGAACAGAGCATCCTGTGTTTCTCCAGTGGAGCTTTGAAGGAAAACAATAGCGTGATTCTGAGTTGAACTACAAAAAGCACGACATGATGAGTCACATACACACTCTCACGTCACACACGTTTACAAACATGCACATGCACTCACACATGAAATCTTTGAAACACATTAGAAACACAAATAAGTATCAAATTTAAGGTGGTACCTTTTCAAAAGGTACATATTTCTACCTTATTTAACCATATTGGTTCCTTAAAGGTACATATTAGTACCTTTGGAAAAGGTTCCACCACAGTGACAGCTTTTGTACCTTTTTTCTGAAAGTGTATTATCCATTGCTATGGTTATCAAGTAATTTCAGATTCAATCCCACATTTATTATCACTCCCAACACTTTGCAGAGTGTGCTTAACAGCATGAAAAAAATTAAATAAATAAATATTCAAAACTGTGAGTGGGTAATATACAGAAAGTGAGCAAAGAACGCTACCTTTATGATCACTAAAGCTCTCAATCACTTCAGTTTAGCGTGAGCTTACTGACTGAGTTCGCTTTATTATCAAAAAGCTGTCTACATTGCACAACTAATGCCTTATGTAGGCTACATCGTTTTTATTCTTGGTTATTATGAAAGGATTCTCAGATATTTTCAAGCAAGCAAAAACTCAGTGCTTTTGTGATTGCGAGGAAGGGGTCATTAATGAATGTTATTGATTAGAAAAAAATAAATAATAATGATGTGCACAGATAAATACTTTGTAATATATACTGCAGTATTCCAATAAATTAAATTAATTGTGACTTTTGATTTCATGGTGACTTTAAAATAATTTTATGAGAACATTTTGAGATCATATTGAGATCTGAGACATCTTCAAGAGTCTTAAGAGACATTGCCACAGTTCTTCTGGATTGTCATCCAAACTGGACTGGATAAGATCATACCACAGATGTTTTGTGCATTCAAAAATCTCACTAGGTTATTACAATTAATGGCAAAAGGAATGTTTGGAAATGTAAACGTATATTTCCTACTGACAAACTATGCAGCAAAAGATAGAAATAACTGGCTTAAACCTTTTTTTTTTTTTTTTGGTTAAATACTAATGGCCTAAGACTTTTGCACAGTTGTGTAAATACTTATTAAAGAGATAATTAAAGGTGTTTTTTTTTTTCAAATAAACATCAACATGAAACATCTATTTATTTATTGCATTTTCATAATTTGAGAAGCGCAAAGCTAATCTTGCCAATTAATCTTACCTAATTAAACTGCTAAAAAAATGTTATTGAAATGTCACTTCTCTGATTAATCTGACCTCGTCTGGTAGAAAAAAGTAGAAGTTAATAATGAGCAACTCTTTTTTTTATCTTTTTCTGTTTGCTCTGAGAAGACAGCATATGATTGAAGGCCAGAGCAGAACACGTCACCTTGCCTCCAAATGCTCATCACAGTAAAATGAAGTGCTGGTGGCTGTGCTGTTTATCTCTTTCATCCAGAGCACTGGCAGCTGCAAAACACAAACATTTGGATCAACATTAGTGATGGAATACTGAAACACACCCTCTCACTTTGTAACAGCAGCGTGAAATGACATTCACAATTTATTTAACTTCTGTAATGTCATCTTTTTCTGAGTAAAACAGAACATTATGTAGGATGGCACAAAAACAGGATTTGATTGGATTGATCATGAATGTTAGGCTGTGAAATTATTGGCTAATGTTATTTTGTTCTTCCCTCACATCCTCGTGCTACATTCAAGACCGCCTGAGAAGTTCCTACTTACAAATCATAACTATGTTGTAATGTGCGTGTTGTTTTGGTAGGACAAAAAAGACCCAGTGGGCAATTTAATGTTTCTCTTTTTTCAGCCAATGACAAAGACTGGAAGCTTTTTTAAATGCTGGTGTGAGCAAATGATGTGTTTTAGTGTGTGTTCAACTGATGCTTTATGTTTAGTTACACAAGCCTGTCGCCTCATAAAGCTTACTTTACTGCAAGCTTTGCTGCTATTGTTCATCGACGCTACACAAAATAAAACAAATCGAACAGTCAACATTCACAATTAAAACGTATTATGACCACTTCCAATTTGCTTAATGAATTAAACTCGGAAAGACTGCGCTCAAAGAAAATCCCACTGGAAATTATGCCATTGTGGTGGCGTTTGTGTTTGCACATCTCGTAAATGTGATTATTCCAGCATGACTCGAAGACAGCACTGTCGACATCAACACAAAAGAAAAGTCATTTCAGAAGCAGAGAAAGTACATTGTGGTGGAAGATTATGAAAAACTTTAGAAAAACACGCATTGATGAATCGTGCACAATAAGTCCAGTGACATTTATTCAGAGTAAAAAGGTCAGTTTTGAGTCCGTGTTGACTATAATATGTGCGTTAGTGTGGATATACAGATCTATTAAGCTGATAAAATCTATGGCAGGCGTTAATAAGCACAGCGAAAACACACTCTGTGTTTGCACACACATACACATGCCATCAATGAGATAACAGCATCCAGCAGATGATGAGAGTAAATGTTTACAGCCACTGTATTCAGCCTGAAGTCATTAGCGTGGAATGCACCAATACGACCCTAATTAGCACACAGGTGTCAGGGGAACAGATCAGCAACACAGAGTCAGAAATTATCCCCGTCCACACACACACACACACAGTTCCTCCTCAATATTTAGCTGGAGGACAGAAGGGTACATTGCAAGGGTACAGAGTGACACTGCACATATCTAAGTCTGGGACATTCATATTGCAGATATATAATAACAATGTGTCTATAGTCACTAATGTTACTTTAGTCAAAAATAACACAAAACAGGCTAAATTGTTGTCATCCATGTTTCTTGTTTTCAAACAGCAGATATTGCAAACTACTGTGAGCTTGGGAATCACAACATGTCCCAACCAGAAAAATGGGGTGTGACACGACACAATCAACAGCCAATCAGAACAGTTTATCTGCAGTTCACACCACAGCTGAGGAGCATAACACTAAAAACACATACTTAGTATTTTCATGACTTCTGTGATGTTTTACCAGATGGTAAGCTCTTTATTTTTTATTTTTTTGTCTTGTGGAAATTCAGGAATTTCTCATATAATATTTGATTCTAAATGATCTCTCCTAGACAGCAATCAGATTAAACTAAAGGCAAATTGAGAGTTTTGCTTAAGTACTATTTTCAGGTGATTTTCAAGAGGGGAAAAAAGCCTTGTCATTTCATATTTCTCCTCTAGAGTTTCAAAAATATATATTATTAAAAATATGAAGTCAAACATTTCTCATTTTCTCAAATTCTTTTTATATCTCTATACTACTACAGTAGGACCACAGTTGATTCATTTTTGAAGAAACACCCAAGTTAAAGTTGAGAAGCGTGACTGAATAATGTTTCCTGAGCTAAAGAAAAGTATTTGAACAAAATATTTTCCAATGGGAAAAACACAGTATTTTGGGGGGAAAAAAACTCAGTATTTTACAAATGAAAGAGGTACATGAGCCCAAATTGATTAATATAACACATTTTTCAAATGCTGTTAATTTCAGTTTTTCCTTAAGTAAATTTGCCGACTTGATGTTTTTAATAAGTGTTGTTTATAATGAATGCCACTATTATTTATCTTTTTGTTTTATATTTATATTTTAATTCCTGTTCTGTTCTTGCAATTTTGTGCTGAAGCGACTTATTGTCAGGTGAAAAAATATGGTAATGTAGTTTTCTTTAAAAGATTCAATCCTACAATCTTAAACCTTTGGCAAATCCAGTGACTAGTTCTTGGAAGCGTTCATTGTAGCAGTCTGGGAACTTGAAAACATGACTTATGGTGCAAACCTGCACCCCATCTCCCGGCAACTGATTGGAGTTGGCAAATTTAGCCATTTTTGTATGCAGTACACATTGGACATTCTGTGAACGGTCCGAGATTATTGTTCAACAGCTGCAGTGCCTTAAGACCCATTACTGAGCGGTTAATACAGATCACACACACAGAGCCCCTCGTGATGAGATGCTGAAATTAAGCTGATTAGTGTTTGCGCCGGCCCCCATTGGCCCTCAGGAACCTCGGCCACATCTCTCTCCCGCTTCTGCCTGCAGTTCGATAAGAAAATGAGCTTATCAGAAATAATGGATTGTCTTAAACAAAGTCAACACGGAGAGCGATAGGACCGGATGTTCAGAAAGAGAGAAAGAGGGCATAGGGTACCATACAGCTTGCGAATATTGGTTTTCCTCGCCTTGGCAAGGAGAAACTGATGAGATGCAAGAGGACAGACACACACGCACGTAATCAATGCAGCCAGTGCGCTACGACCTGTGTGAGAGGAATATTAGCCGAGCAGGTTCAGCCTGCAGGCGCCCGTATGCACCCATTAGAGTCCAACCAGAAGGAAATATGGGTGTGACACGTCAGGACACACACTAAACAGAGTGTTAAAAAAAAATCAAACATCCCCTCGCACGCTGCTGCTGCAACGAACCTCGGCAGATGGCTGCAAACATTAAGTGGGACAGAACGAGCCTGCTCCGCGCTATGGCAGCCGTCCACGTCTGGACCAAAACACAGCACAATGGCGTTCTCAGGGCAGGGCTGTGTAATGAATAATTAAAAAGCAGAGTTTGGCACCTTGTGGGAGAGAGAGAGAGTGAGTGAGTGAGGGAAGGTTGGGACGTCCTTTATATTACCGTGTGTACCAGAGACAGTGGACACCAGTAGGTTAACCCTCATATTATACAGTATACCAGCCAGAGACAGATGGACAAGAGAGAGAGGTAAATTAGTTACTGTAGTGACAAATGGTTTGTACACACTTTCTATCAAGAAAAGTATAATTTGACAAACCCTTAACTGCACTGAGGAATTGCAACCCTTTGATATAATAATTCAGGATAATAACAATTTTGTAGTCAAAGACCAACATCAAGCTTGTGAGAAAGTTAATTTAATTAATTTAATTTAGTGCAGCTTTAATTTTAAACACTCCTTCACATAGAGCTCATTTGTAATTTGCTATCAAAAAGATTAATTATAGTCTATGTATATTTTAAATTATAAATTATTAGCCTATATAAAGGTTAAATACAATTTGAATTAAAAAATTAAACATGATAAATGTTATATGACATCATGTAGGAAATAATAATCACAGGTGAGATCTTGTTCAAATCAACATGCAATGTTGCATATTAATTATGAAAAATATATAGGGATTTGTGATGTCAGCCTGAAAATTAATGTTGTGTCAAGTTAAAAGTGTTGATTTTAGTATCCCAGTTATTTATCATAGAAAGCTGAGTAAACTTAAGAGTATGTTAAGACTGCTTAAGTCCAGCTTTCAGATTTTTCTACTGAAAAGTAGCAAATAAAATTTCCAAACTCTAAATTTCCAAAAGAGAGAACAATGTATCAAACAGTGCTCTGATTTACCAAGAAACCAATGTTTGCAATAATCGAAAGTCTCAAAATAAGCCTCTTCTTCTTCTTCTTTTATTTATTTTATTTTTTCTCTCGTAAAATTCTTCCAATACCAACTTTTTGCTCTATACTCTTACTATATGTGGGATTTTTAAAGAATCCAAAATAATTTTTTGGAGGAACATCTAAGACATGATATTTAGGATGGTTCACCCAAAAAGTTCACGTATAACTCATGTCATTCCAAACCTGTATGACTTTCTTTCTTGTTTCTTTCTTTTTCAATTTTGAAGAATGTTTGAAGAAGAAAGCCATACAGGTTTGGAACAACATGAGGGTGATTAAATTATATTTTGGAAATCAGTCTTCATTTTTGGGTGAACAATCATTTTAAGTAGCATATACCTTGTAAAGCATGAGAACTCAATTAATTATCTTTAGTTATGAAAGAAAAATTGTTATTTTCCGCTGGGAATGACAATTTACTGTAGTATGAATTACAAATTATAATTATAAGCCTTTACTGTGAGAAGTAGTTGTAGCCCTGAGGAATTATACTCTTTTCATTTAGCAAAATCTTTGTTTTTCCTTTAATTTACTGCTCTCAAAAAGGACCAAGCATGTGTTTGATGATATGGTGTATGGTTGATGTATACAGTTAGGCCTATATCACAATTGTGGCATTTAAAAAGGAAAAACAAACAAGCCAAAAAGGTCAAAGATAATGCGTATGGATTTATTTGGCTTGAGATATTCCCCAGCTGTGGTAAATCTCCATTTTGGCACATAACTGAGAGTCAAGTCTTTCTGTTTAAGTCGAATGGACGTATCAAAGCTGACGCTCCTAACCAGAGAATTATATTCAGGTCAATGACAAGCAAATGCTGGGTCGGTTTCCTGCCCACTCTCTTGTTGTTTCCGAACCCAGGCCTCCTCATTGTGTTTGAGCGGCATTTGATGCGTATTAACATACAAAACTCATGTATGGGAAGGGGTTATTGGGGCGGTCAGAGAAACTTTCGGAAGTTGTAAAGCTCCTTCAGAACCTTCACAAAACAACGTTTTTCCCCTCT